TTATAAAAATGGTGAAACAAAAGGAAAGACCACAAAGAGTTTGGACCACAGAGAGTTTGGCTGTTTTAGGAATTCAGCAATGACAAGGGTCTGGTACCAAAGTTGTAGGCAATTTACAAAACATAATACTCTGGAAAACTAAGGCTGACAGTAAACAAAAAAGATGATAGAGAACCAGCCCTGGTGGCCTAGTGGTTAAGTTCAGCGTGCTCTAATTCAGTGGCCTGGGTTTGGTTCCTGGGCGTGGACCTACACTATTCATCTGTCAGAGGCCACGCTATGGCAGCGGCTCACATACAACATAGAGGAAGACTGGCAACAGATGTTAGCTCAGGGCGAATCTTCCTCAGCAAAAAAAAAAAAAAAAAAGACAAAATCAGGAAAACAAGATAGGAAGGTATTGTAAAAAAGAGCTACCTGCGAGTAATGAAATTTTAAATAAGCCAGACAGATCTTTCTAAGAGAACAAAAAAAGGGTGAGATCAACAGAAATTTAACAACAAAGGGGATTTGAAGGTTCCTGAGGAAACTCAGACACCAAACGGGGGCCAGCCGTGTGGTGTAGCAGTTAGGTTTGCACACTCTGCTTCAGAGGCCCTGGGTTCACCAGTTCAGATCCCGGGTGTGGGCCTACGCACTGCTTATCAAGCCATGCTGTAGCAGACATCCCACATATAAAGTAGAGGAAGACGGGCATGGATGTTAGCTTGGGGCCAGTCTTCCTCAGCAAAAAGAGGAGGACTGATGGTGGATGTTAGCTCAGGGCTAATCTTCCTCAAAGAAAAAAAGAAGAAAGAAAGAAACCAAATGGCCTCAGCCTTCTCAGAAAGAGTATACCTTTAAAAGTCTGCAAAGTGACATTTTCAAAGGTCCAGCCCCTTTGGCAGGCTCTTCATAAAGCCCTATCTGCTTGTGAACTCACCCTGCAGAACTCCTCTGGCTCCTGTCCTCACCTCGTCTGCCCCTTTCAATCCAGAGCTGAGGTCGGGTTTGCACGATCTGTATCCTGCTCAAGGGAAAAATACAGACAGAGGACCTCGCAAGACACAAAAAACACGTCCTTGATCTGGAACCAACACTGTAGCCTTCAGTTTCTGAGGACGCTCAAGTCTACCTTTACAGACAGCAAGGTGATCCTGCCAAATTTTAAATAAATGCAATCAAGCTACTTAAAAGGAACAAAAATGCCAGCACATTCCCTCTCTGTGCCCTCAAATGACGGGAGATCTCAAAGACCTGAAAACATGGCCAACCTCATCCACATTTAAAGGCTTAAGGTTTTTAGTCTCTAAAGGAAATAAAGTCATTTCTTTAGACAGAGCTTCATTTTCACGAGGAATCCTCTAAACGTGAGGCCCATGCAGCCAAGGACTCTGTCTGTCTTGTTTATCACAGTCTTCCCATGTGACAGCGAAGGGGCTTAGGAAACACCCATTTCCTACCGGGCTCCGTGGAGACGTGCTGGCGGCCTTACCTACGGACAGGAGATTCTGGTAGTTCTCCACCATCACATCTCGGTAGAGAGCTCTCTGCGTTGGGTCCAACAACATCCACTCCTCCTGGGTGAAGTCCACGGCCACATCCTCGAAGGTCACTAAGTGCTAAATCATTCGACACAGGTCGGCTTCAGATAAATATCATTTTCTTTGATGTTCTCAGAAAGATGCATGAGCGACTGAGGAAGGGAGACCAGAAGACTACAGAACCCCTGGGCCCAGACCTCTTCTCCTCTCTAGCTATACAGACAATGCCTGGTCATCACATCCAGTCACGTGGATTTACCAACACCACTGACCCTTCTTGCCTTATTCCTCCTCTATTTATAGGCTGCGGTTAGCAAGGAACATTATGCGACACTCTAAAATGTGGTAACAAATGAATTATCTCCACAGCGACACACAAATTCTGTGAGATGAGATGCTTTCATATCCTTGCTTAAGATCTGTCATGACAGCAAAACAATAAGCCAACAAGCAGGATTGAGGATCACACAGAATTAATAAATATTGAGATAAAAGAATCATATCCACTGTGATCCCCAGATACTCTGAGATGGCACGCGGCCTGGAGAAATTCACCTGGGGCTCATTCCCTAAGCAGAGCCATTCATTGCTTTGAAAAGCTTGGGGACATTTCTAGGAGACATGGCTACCTGATGAAAACAAGCATGACATTTTAAAGAAAGAGCAACTTTCCACTTGCCTGAGAAGAATGTATCGGTAATCCAGCCAGCATTCTTGTCTCCTTGGTTTTCCTCTTGTGAAGACAGAAAGGGGCCCTAGAAAGACAACCTCAGAGAGAAGAATGGCATGAACTTCGGAGCCAACCCAATTCCAACAATCATATGCTTATAAGCTGTTCCACCCCATGCACAGAAGACCACAAACACACTACCTCCACAATATGACAAAGTGTCCTGTGTTACCTGGAGGAGGAAAATGGTTGTCTGGATTTTACCACCCATGAGGGACAGGCTAAAAATTCCATCTTAGAGTTACACAAATTAAAGTACAGAGAGGCAGAGCTGTCTGACACACAATAAAATTCATGAACATTTTATCCCCCAAAAAGCGCACACACACCTTCTTGCGTCCCATATCCGAGGACCCTGACTTACACACACTCTGGCCATCTCACTCCCTTTCATCTGGCCCACTGCACAATTGCTCAGCCCCTGAACACTGGATCTGCCATTTGTGAAGGAACTACATGAAGCAAAGGATTTGAAAAGCATCATCATCAAGGACTCACCACTCATTTGAGTCAGATCCTGTGAATCTGATAATGAGAGTTTACAGAACGTTCCATTTCTTGCTCAGAAGATCACTTCAGAGAAGTTTAAGTTAAGAGGTTTATCTCGACTTCTCTTCATATACTAGAGTGTCTGGGTAACTGGTTCACAACATCGATCATTAAGCAGCAGACAATTTTCCTTAGTCGTCAAACATCACTATTCAGCCATTTGTCTGCAGATAAAACATGTGGCAGCCATTATAAACTGTCTAATACAATAGCACGCAAATATTAATAACTGCCATTTACTAAGCACCTGTTAGAAGTTCTACATAAACTGCTTTAGTTGTCCCAACAACCCTCCAAATTGGGTATTAATAGTATTATTTAGTAACTGAGAAAACTGAGGTTTAGACAGGGTTAATAATTGGCCCAACATCACCAGTTAGGAAACGTGAACCAGGACTAGACACGGGTTAGTGTGTCATGAGCCTGCTCTTCTGTGGTTGCTGTTATTTCTGATATGACCAGAATTCAGTCCAGACCCTCTGCTGGGCAGAGTGAAGAGGAGAGATACAAAAGGTTTTATGAAACCAAGTCTCCCTGGGTACTCCCTGCTAGAGCGTGGTTGGACTTAGAACCTTTGTCCCCGTGTCTTTTATTCCTTTATGCAATCAGCAAACACTTAGTAAGGGCCTTCCTTATGCCAGGTCAGGTACTAGGCACTAAGGAGGGCATAGTTCTTAGGGTACAGTTCAGCTAGCGATGAGTAGTATAATTAAAAAAAAAGAATCAATCTCATTAAAGTATAATGTACCACACATACACAAATATATTCCTGATACAGAGACAAGACTGGTTAGAGGTAAGATAAAGACAGAACAGGGAAATAACCACTTCAGAGGACCGTGATCATTGATACTTTACTTACTTAAAACAATACTGTTCCAATTTTGACCCAAAGACATTCAAACTTGAAAATCATGATTTTAGAAAAAACTCGAAATACATTTCTAATGTTGGCCACTCCAAGAGGATCTGAATCAGGTCACTGTTCTTCTTTTATGCTGAAATTAAAGCTTTTCCATATTTTCTCATAGTTAACTACAAAGACTATTATATAATATATTTTTCATCTTTTCACCTCTTCATGTACTGATCAGTTCTACTTTTTTTCCATTAGGTATTGGTTTTATTTTTATTCATCCTTTCAGTACATTTTACTCTACTTCTGTATTTCTCACTCAATCGTATGAGGTAGAATGTTTAGTTCTATTTCTTGAACTACTTTTATTGAATTCCAACATACATACGATAAAAGGAGGCAATCGTGAATGAAAGTCTCAATGAACTATCAAGAAATGAACAGCCTCAGGTAACCACCATTTAGGTCAAGAAATAGAACATTTCCATATCCAGCATATTCTTTGTCTCTTTTCCAAATCACTAACTCCATGCCTCCCAATCGCAACCACTATCCTGACACTTAACATTCTAGACTATTCTGCCTATTTCTGAAATTTAAAGAAACTATCAAACAGCATGCATTCTTTTGTCTGTCTTTTGTGCTATAATTCACTCATTATACTTGTGAGGTTCATCCAAGTTGCTGCCACTCTCTACCTGTGGTTTGGTCCTTCTCTTTGCTGACGAGTATGCCACAGAAAACACATGCCACCATTCACCCATTCTTCTCTTGGTCCACTTTGGGTTATTTCCGTTTTGGGGATATTTCAAATAATGATGCTATAGCCTCTACGTTTAGTGGGTGCACATGGGCATGCATTATTGGTGTGTGACCAACAATCATATTTAGATGATACTTTTCAAAAATGTGTTTCCACTAGCAGCGTATGCACGTCTTAACCAACACGTGGCACTGTCATTCTTTTTCAGTTTTACTTTTAACCATTCAGTATGTGTAGTACTACCGTACTATGATTTTCATCTGCATTTACCTGCTTGCTAATGATATCAAGCACCTTTTCACATATTTGTTATCCATTTATATACATATTTCCTTTATTGAGGAGCCTATTGAAACCTCTCGGTCATTTTCCATTGAGTTTTCATTTCGGGTATTAAGTTTAGGAATTATTACGTACGTACATAACTCATCGTCACATGTGAGGCAATTAACCAAGCACTAAAGGTCAAATATCATGTCTGCAACTTATTTCCACGTCCTGACTCTCCAAGAGCTTATCCTACACCCATGGAAATAGGTGTATAGATACAGCAGATATGCAAGATATTAACAACGGTCAATGGACAGCAAGGTAACATCTAAACAATTTATCATACTTAGCGGACGCCCACAGACAGAGCCTCTCCGTCCAGAGCTCACCGGAACGCGCCGCAGTCGCCAAGCCGGTGAGAAGAGGAGGACGCTGGGCCGTTTTCCAGATCAAACGCTCCTCCCTTTGGAGGAAGGACTCGAGGTTGCTTTGGCAGCTTTTGCAGACAGGCGCACAGCGGCTGCAGAAAAGCCTCCCCCACGGGGGCCCCGATACACAGGCCCGACCAGCGCGGCGGAGAGGGCAGAGGCTCTCGGGGGCACCGCGGGGGCCCCAGGAAGCCTCGGGCGCGGGTCCGAGCGGGGCTCAGGCGCCGCGATCCCCAGAGGCCGGAGGGGCCCGGGCGGAGCGCCGAGACTTGACGCCGACACACGGGAAAACCTAGAGGGGAGCAAACGGAGACGGACTTCCGCTTCCGGTTTCCGCCCCGCGCTCAGCGTAAGGGGCGGGGCTTCCGGAGCTCAGGGATCAGGAAGAAGTGCTATGGAGATGGGGTCGAACGGGGGCGGCGGCTGCTTGCGCCCAACAGGCAGGCGTGCTGTTGGACCTGGATCCAGAGCAGGCTTTTCAAATAGACCAGGGCCAGAGGGCAGGACCCGAGCTGGAGGACCGAGCGGAGCGCTGGGGACCGAGTTAGAAGCCGGCCGGACGCGGAGGGCGGGGCTTGCGTCGTGGCTGTCCCGGGAGGGCGTGGTTCGGGGCGGGGTCAGAGCCCAGGCTTTGTGTACCGACTGCGGGAAGCTCATTAAAGGCCTTTCGACTGGCCTTTCTCGTGATTTCTTCAGCCCGATGCAGCGGTGTGCACATGTTCGCAAAGGTAAGCCTGCTTGTCCGTGAAATGGTCTACCCCCCTAAATCACTCAGCTCTTTCTTTAGACCTTTAGTTTTGTTAGAGAATTCTCATAGCATACATTTATCCCATTTGAAGTTTACCATTTAGTGGCCCTTAATATATTCATAGTTGTGCGTCCATCACCACAATCAATTTTAATACATTCTCGTAATCACAGAAAGAAACCCAGTACACGCTTAGCCATAATCCGCTACCCCGCCCACCAGCCCAAGGCAACAGCTAATCTACTTTTTGTCTCTCTGCATTTGCTTCTTCTTGACATTTCATGTAAATGGAATCTTACAATATGTGGTCTTTGTGTCTGCCTTCTTTCACATGCATAATGTTTTCAAAGTTCATCCATGTTGTAGCATGTGTCGTACTTAATTTCTTTTATTACTGAATAATATTCCATTGTATGGATATATGACAGTTTATCCATTCATTGGTTGATGGACATTGGCCTGTTGCCACTTTTTTGGCTATTGTAAATAATACGGGATACCTTTTAGGCAGTGATCAGAGGAGAATTCATATTCCTAAACACTTTTATCAATAAAAATGAGAGAATAATAAAAAAACAAATTCCAAGCTCAAAAAAAAAAACACCAAAAAATAGAATATCAATGAAACCAAGATAGAAAAAGTTAAGTAGGAATTTACACTAGGAAGAGTATCAAAACCAGATGGGTTGGTTGGTTTGGGGATTTTTTTTTTTTTTTATAATAGCCTTAGTGAGATATAATTCACATACCATACACTTCACCCATTTACAGTGTATATGCAGTGGTTCTTATATTTGCAAAGTTGTGAAACTATCTCCACAAGCAACTGTAGGACAATTTCTTTATTGTCTCTATGGATTTGTCTGTTCTGACCATTTCAAACAAGTTAAAAAAAAATCCCATGTGGTCTTTTGTGACTGTTTTCGTTCACGAAGCATACAGTTTTTGAAGTTCCTCTATGTTGTAGCATAAATCAGTATTTTATTCCTTTTAATTGATAAATAATATTCCTATCGGTTGGTTAACATTTGAGTCATTTCCACTTTTTTGGCCATTGTGAGTAACCCTATCCAATATTCGTGTACAGGTTTTTGTGGACGTTTTCGTATCTGTTGGGTATATATCTAGGAGTGGAATTGCTGGGTCATGTTATAACACTATGTTTAACCTCTAGGGGAACAGCCAGACTGTTTTCCAAAGTGGCTGAACCGTTTTACAATCTCCCCAGCAGTATATGAGAGTTCCAATTTATCCCATCCTTGTCAACATGTATTAGTGTCTTTTTCAAAAAAGTATTATAGCCATCCTAGTTGGTGTGAAGTGCTATTTCATTGTAGTTTTGATTTTAATTTTCCCCCAGTGACTAAAGATATTGAGCATTTTTTCTTGTGCTCATTGGCCATTTGCAAATCTTATTTGGAGAGATGTTTATCCACATCCTTTGACTATGTCTTACCTGTGTTATCTATCATTTTATTATTGAATTCGAAGAGTTCTTTATGCATTTTAGACACCAACTCCTTATCATACATAGAATTTCCAAATATTTTCCCCCACTCAAAAGGTTGTCTTTTCACTACTTTATGGTGTCCTCTGAAGCTCAGAAATTTTTAATTTTGATGAACTCCAACGTGTCTGTTTTTTCTTTGGTTGCTTATGTTTTTGGTGTCAGATTTGAGAAACCATTGCCAAATCCAAGATCACAGATTTACCATTATGTTTTCTTCAAAGACTTTTCTACTTTCAACACTTACATTTAGTTCTTTGATCCATTTTGAGTTAATTTTTGTGTGTGGTGTGAGGTAGGCATCCAGTTTGATTCTTCTGCATGTGGATATACAGCTGTCCCAGTACCATTTGTTGAAAAGACTATTTGTTCCCCCATTGAATTGTTTTGACACCCTTTTCAATCATCAGTGGACCATAAATATAAGCCCAGAAGTTTTAGATAGGGTAATTATAGCAAAACTTCGACGTTCAGATATTCCCAGTACTCCATAAATAAGGGCAATGAGAATGAAGAAAAACTTCCTACTCCTTTTATGAAGCAAGTATAACATTCAGATAAAACCTGATAGAGTACAAAAAATGGAAAATTACAGAGCCATATCACTTATGAATATTGATTTGAATGAGCTGTGTTAAATATTAGCAAATAGAATATGAAAACCCATTAAGAAAATAATAAAACTTCACCAAGTGGAATTTACTCTAGGATTGCAAGGTTGATTCACTTATTAGGAAATCCATTAAAAAATATAGCATATTAGTACACCTAAGAAGAAAAATCATATAATTATCTCCATTGATGCTGATGAAGCCTTTGACAAAATTCACCACTGATTATTGACATAAGTACTCAAAAAAGAAATTGGTGAATACTTTCATAAAATGATTGCCTATATCTATATCTATGTCTGTGTGTGTATACATGTATGTATGTGCATGTGTGTATCTGTGTCTAAGTGTGCACTGGTGGCATTAGCTAATGTAATTAGATAAATTAATTAGAAACATAAGAATTGCAAAGGAAGTAACACTATCTCTTTTTACAGATGATACGATGCTATACATGGAAAACCCTAGAGAATCAATGATAAAATTAATTCAAACAATAGAAGAATTCAGTAAGTTAGCAAGATATGGAATTGTCGTCTGGAAATCAATAGCCTTCATCTACCCAAACAGTAACCAGTAAGGTGATATAATGGTAGAGAAAAACTCATTTATAATAGCAAGAAAAAGATGCTTTGGATTAAACTTAACAAGAAACTTATAAGACCTACATGAGGAACTTTAAAACTCTTAAAAGACACAAACTGAACAAGTGGGAAAAAATCCGTTGTTCTTGAATAAAATGACTTAACATCCTAAAGATAGCAATTCTCCACAGGTTAATTCAGAAATGTAGCATAATCCCAATAAAAACGCGAATAAGCCTTTCTAAAAAATAGTAATTATTTTAATGAATTTGCTTTCAGCACCTTATGTTTTGATAAAAACACTTTATATATATGTGCAACGCTTGAAATTGCTAGACTGACAGATTGAAATCTAACTTCTGATTTATATGTGTTTGCAAAGATAACTAAAAAGTCTACATAAGTTCCTGGTAATTTAATGAAATAAGTGTGCTGAAATTTTCGTATAAATTTGTCTTTCTGGACCAGTGTGCCGTCATAATGAGGGTCTCTAGAAAATAGTCTCGTCTTTTTTTTTTAAGGCATTGGATTCCTTTATTTTTCTGTTAACCCCAATAGTCATTTCAACTTTATGTTTTTCCAGTTTCATTGAGATATGATTAACATATAACATTGTTTTAAGGTGTACAACATAATGATTTGATATACGTATGTACATATTGCAAAATGCTTACCACAGTGACTTTAGTTAACATCCATCATGTCACATAGTCACGAAATTTTTTTTTATGATGAAAACTTTTAAGATCTACTCTCTTAGCAACTTCCAAATATATAATGCAGTATTGTTAATTATAGTCACCACGCTGTACATTACATCCCCAAAACATTTATTTTATAACTGGAAGTTTGTACCTTTTGCCCACCTTCGCCAACTAGCTTTTTTTATGGAGTTTGTTAAATTGATACTAACATTTATATGGAAGAACAAACATCTAGTGGTATCCAAGAAAACACTGAAAAATGAAGTGATAATGCCCTACAGACATTAAAACATATTGTTATAAAGCTGCTGTAATTAAAACTGGTATTGGGGGTCCGGCCCGGTGGCGTAGCGGTTAAGTGCACACGCTCCGCTTCGGTGGCCTGGGGTTCACCGGTTAGGATCCCGGGTGTGGACATGGCACCACTTGGCAAAAGCGATGCTGTGGCAGGCATCCCACATATAAAGTAGAGGAAGATGGGCATGGATGTGAGCTCAGGGCCAGTCTTCCTCAGCAAAAAGTGGAGGATTGGCAGTAGTTAGCTCAGGGCCAATCTTCCTCAAAAAAAAAAAAAAAAAAAAAAAAGGTGGTATTGGCACATGAACAGGAAACAGACAAATGGAGTAAAATGGAACAGCTAAAAATAGACTCAAGAGCATATGGAAATTCAGCTCATAAAGTTGATATTGCAGATCACTGGGGCAAAAGTGAGGTTTTTAATGAAAAACCTTAAGACAACTAGTCAGCCGTCTGTGAAAAAGATAAAGTTATATCTATACCGCACATCACTTACAAAAACAAGCTCCAAATGGATCAAGGATCTAAATGTGGGGGGTGGAGGGTGAGGGTCCATATCCATACGTAGGGTATTAAGTGACTTCTGAGCTGATTAAGGAAACAGATGTGACCGTGAGGTGGCAGTGGCACACCGAAGCCTTATTTGGGCAGCACTTGGCCGGGTTTGCACGTGGGGACAGTCTCTCACAGTATGAGAAAATACAGAAGCTATGGCATGGACGCCACCACTCAGAAGGGAAGTGCCTCTCCAGGAGAAGGCACTGGCAGAGGAGGCTTATGTGACTAACAGGCGATGTCGCTCAGCACCCTGGTGGTGAGTCTCTGAGCCAGAAAGTTCTGAAGGGCAGCAGCTACTGGGTCTTTATAGCCCCAGGATTTATCTTATCTCTGGCTAGCAGATTTGGGACATACTTTTGTGGGGTCCAAAAAGCAGGCAGGCTCTAAATGGCTAAACATTTCGCTGCTTGGGCTATGTTTAAGAGAATGGCGTGTGCAAAAATTTGAGTTTGGCACCAGTGAGCTACTGTGAATAATGCTGCTGTGAACATTGGTGTGAAGATATCTGAGCCCCTGCTCTCAGGCCTTTTGAGTATATACCCAGAAGGGAAATTGCTGGCTCACATGGTAATTCTCTGTTTAATTATTTGAGGAATCTCCATACTGTTTTCCACAGCAGTTGCACCATCTCATATTCCACCAGCTATGTACAAAAGTTCTAATTTCTCCACATCCTCACCAGCATGTGTTATTTTCCATTTTTTCGAGAATAGCCATCCTAACAGGTGTAAAGTGCTGTCTCGTGGTTCTGTTTTGCATTTCCCTAGTGATTAGTGATGTTGAAAATCCTTTCATGTGCTTATTGGCCATGTGGATATCTTCTTTAGAGAAATGTTTATTCACGTCCTTTGCCCATTTTTGAGTTGGGTTGTTTTTTGTTGTTGAATTGTAGTTCTTTATATATTCTGGATAGTAATTCCTCATCAAATATATGATTCACAAATACTTCTCCCATTCTGTGGATTGTATTTTCACTTTCTTTTTCTTTTCTTTTCTTTCTTTTTTTGGTGAGGAAGATTGGCCCTGAGCTAACATCTGTCACCAATCTTCCTCTTTTTGCTTGAGGAAGATTGTCCCTGAGCTAACATCTGTGCCAGTCTTCCTCTGTTTTGTATGTGGGACACCACCACAGCGTGGCTTGATGAGTGGAGTGTAGGTCTGTGCCCGGGATTCAAACTCATGAACCCTGGGCCACCAAAGCAGAGTGTGTGAACAAAACCATTACACCACCCAGCCAGCCCCATCACTTTCTTGTTATTGTCCTTGGATACACAAAAGTTTGTAATTTTGACGAGCTTCAGTTTGTTTTTATTTTGTTACCTGTGCTTTTGATGTCATACCCAAGAAATCATCACCAAATCTAATGTCATGAAGCTTTCACTCTATGTTTTCTTCCAAGAGTTTTATAGTTTTAGATCTGACATTTAGGTTTTTGATCATTTTGAATTAGGTTCTGTATATGGCTTGAGGAAGGGGTCCAACTTCATTCTTTCACGTGTGAAAATCCTGTTGTCCCACCACCTGTTGAAGAGATTCTTTTCTGACCCACTGAATAGACTTCACACCGTTGTCAAAAACCCATCCCCTATAGATATATGGGTACACTCTGACCTCTCAAGTCTGTTGCGTTTGTCTCTGTCTATCCTCATGCCAGTATGTTTTGACCATACTTTTAATTTCTGCAAATTGATGCTTTCACAGCTACAAAATGGTCACTAGCTATTAGCTGTTCCCAAGTAAACCTGGCTCACCCCAAAACATCTGGAGACTTTAGATAGTCCCAAACCATAATCTCTAACAGTCACTCTTAACATAAATGTCATGGAGGAACCACTTTCTAATATAGCTGGGCAGTCCTAAGCCTGCTGACTCTGTCATGCCCCTTCCTTCCCATGGGAACCACAGCAATGGTGCTTGCCCACAGCTGCACTCCCTTCCTCCGCCTTGTGACCAGCCTCAGTGCTTACACCAAGTGACCCTGCATGGAGTGCTGTGTTTTCCCCCAGGGAAATGTGAATGTAACAACAGTGTAAAACTCTTTCTGGTTTCCCTCTCGATCTGCATCTCCCTTTACCATACCTCACCCAAGGTAGTATGATTAAAACCACTGGACAGTGAGCAGAATTGTTGGGTCCCAAATGAGAAAGAGATGCCACAGGACAGTTGTTGGCTTACCAACTGGATTCACTAGGTGGCAGAGGGGGCCTGGAAGACACCATTGCCTGCTGGTGCGATTGCACTTTGACCTCTGCTATTGGGCGCTCTTTTGACTTTGGGATTGGGACAGTGCTGGCCCCATAACAGGAATTTGGAAGTATTGCCTCTTCACTTTTTTGGAAGAGTTTGGGAAGAACAGATGTTAATTCTTCTTTCTTTCTTTCTTTCTTTTTTTTTTTTTTTTTAAAGATTTTATCTTTCCTTTTCCTCCCCAAAGCCCCCCAGTACACAGTTGTATATTCTTAGCTGTGGGTCCCTCTAGCTGTGGCATGTGGGATGCCACCTCAGCATAGCTTGATGAGTGGTGCCGTGTCTGCGCCCAGTATTCGAACCAGCGAAACCCTGGGCCGCCGAAATGGAGTGCATGAACTTAACCACTCAGCCACACGGGACCAACCCCATAACAAATTTATTTTTAATTCTTTAAATGTTCGGTAGACTTCACTTGTGAAGCCATCTGGTCCTGGGCTTTTCTTCGTTGGGAGGGTTTTAGTTACTGATTCAATCTGCTTATTCATTATTTGTCTGTTCAGAATTTCTATTTCTTCATGATTCAGTGTTGGTAGGTTGTATGTTGCTAAGAATTTAACCTTTTCCTCTGGGTTGTCCAATTTGTTGGCATATTATTGTTCATATTAATCTCTTCCAACCCTTTGTATTTCTGTGGTATCAGTTGTACTGTCTCCTCTTTCATTTATAATTTTATCTATTTGAATCCTGTGTCTTTTTCCTGGTAAGTCTAGCTAAAGGTTTTTATTTTTTCAGAAAACCGACTCTTAATTTCATTGATCTTTTCTATTGTTTTCCTATTCTCTATTTCACTTATTTCTGCTCTGATGTTTCATATCTCCTTCCTTCTGCTAACTTTGGGCTTGATTTGTTCTTCTTTTTCTAGTATCTTGAGGTATAAAATCAGGTTATTGATTTGAGATCTTCCTTTTTTCTTAATGAAGGCATTTATTGCTATAAACTTCCCTCTCATAACTGCTTTTGTAGCATCCCATAAGTTTTGCTATGTTGTTTTTCAAGATTATTTGTTTCAAGATTTTTTTTTACATACAGTAATGATAGGGTTTGTTATTATCAGGTGTTATACTTCTGATTGCAATATAGAGTTCTACTTTTTGGAGATATACTTGGCAATTCAAATTAAAAATCCTCAAATGTGAATATCTTTGACTCAGCAATGCCACTTTTAGGTATTTATCTTATGGAAAAAATATAATAGATAGGTAAAAAATTTAACTACAAGGATACTGACTTCAGTAACAATAGCAAGAAATATTGGAAATGTGTCTCTAAAACACAGCATGGGTTAAAATTTAGCTTACACATGTGAAGCAATACCATGCAACTACTAAGAGGATGTCATAAAAAATATTTAAATAGGGGCCGGCCCGGTGGCACAGTGGTTAAGTACGCACATTCCCCTTCAGTGGCCTGGGGTTCACCGGTTCGGATCCTGGGTGCGGACATGGCACCGCCTGTCAAGCCATGCTGTGGCAGGCATCCCACATATAAAGTAGAGAAAGATGGGTATGGATATTAGCTCAGGGGTGATATTCCTCAGCAAAAAGAGGAGGATTGGTGCAGATGTTAGCTCAGGGCTAATCTTCCTCAAAAAAAAAAATTAAATACATGGAAAGCTGATTGTGTTTCAAAAGCAAATTACAAAACATAATATCTTATTTTATTGAAAAATATGTGCATAGGAAAATGATAAATAATGGTATTATGTAGTTGATGGAATTCGGGGGTTTTTCCTCTGTTTTTGCTTGTCTTTGTTTTCTACAGTAGACAAATTGATTACCAGAAAAAAGAGATTGTTTTATTTCCCTTTTGATTTCTTCTTTGACCCATTGGTTGTTCAGGAGCGTGTTGTTTAATTTCTACGTATTTGTGAATTTTCCAGCTTTCTTCCTGTTGATTTCTAGTTTCATATCTTTGGGGTCAGAAAAGATATATGGTATGATTTCTATCTTCTTGAATTTCATAAGACTTATTTTGTGACCTAACATATGATCTTTCCTGGAGAATATTCCATGTGTGCTTGAGAAAAATGTGTATTCTGCTGCCATTGGATGAAATGTTCTGTATATATTTGTTAAATCCATTTGGTCTAAAGTATGGTTCAAGTCCAAAGTTTCTTTATTGACTTTTTGTCTAGATGATCTATCCATTGTTGAAAGTGAGGTGTTAGAGTCTCTCACTATTATTGTTTTGTTGTCTATCTCTCCCTTCAGTGTTTGGTATTTGCTAAATATATTTCAGTGCTCTGATGTTGGGTGCATATATGTTTACAATTGTTATACCCTCTTGGTGAATCGACCCCTTTATCATTGTGTGGTGACCTTCTTTGTCTCTTGTTACAATTGTTGACTTAAAGTCTGTTTTTTCTGATAGAAGTATTGCTACTCCTGCAATCTTTTGGTTTCCATTTGCGTGAAATATCTTCTTCCCTTCCTTCAGTTTGAGCACATGTGTATCCTTAAAGCTGAGATGAGCCCCTTGTGGACAGCATATAGTTGTGTCTTGTTTTTTATCAATTCAGCCAGTCTGTGCCTTTTGATCAGACTTTAACCCATTTACATTTAAAGTAATTATAAATAGGTAAGGACCTACTGATGGCATTTATCAACTGTTTTCTGGCTGTTTTGTAGTTCTTTTCTTCCTCCCTTGCTGTCTTGAAACGATGTTTACCCTGAATTTGGTTAAACCTGTAACCCACACTGTCCAATAACCTAGCCACTACCCACATGTGACTATTTAAATTAATCAAAATTGAAAATTCAGTTTCTCAGTCACACTCACCACATTTGAATAGCCACAGGTAGCTCTAGGCTACCACATTGAACAGTACAGATATAGAAGATCTCCATCATCACAGACGTTCTGCTCTAGGCCAGGGCTTCTCAGCTTCAACACAGTTGACGTTTCGGGCCAGCCAATTCTTTGTTTTGGGGGTGGTGACCTGTGCATTGTAGAATGCTTAGCCACTTCCCTGACCTCTGTGCACTAAATGCCAGAAGCCCAGTTATGAGAACCAGAAACCAATGTCCAGGCATTGCGAAATTTCCCCCTGGAGCAAAATCGCCCCCAGTGAAAACCACCACTCTAGATCTAGCTTCCAATTTATAGGAAATGCAGGTAATAGAAGAACAAACTAAAAGAAACTATGAAAAAAGAATGAGGGGCCAGCCCAGTGGCGCAGCAGTTAAGTGTGCATGTTCCCCTTCGGCAGCCAGGGTTCACTGGTTCGGATCCCAGGTGCGGACATGGCACCGCTTGGCAAGCCACACTGTGGTAAGCATCCCACATATAAAGTAGAGGAAGATGGGCATGGATGTGAGCTCAGGGCCAGTCTCCCTCAGCAAAAAGAGGAAGATTGGCAGATGTTAGCTGAGGGCCAACCACCGCTGCGCCACTGGGCCAGCCCCTAATACAATATTGTTTTGATTGCAGTCATTTTATAAGTTTTAATATGTGTTTATAACGGTAATAGGGATGACTAATGTTTTTTGAGAGTTTTCTCTATTAAATTATTTACCCTCAGAGCTACTCTGCAAACTGGTACTATTCTCATCCTCAGGTTGCAATTGAAAAAAAAGAAGCTTTTGCACAGAGAGTTTAAGCCTTAATTCAGTCTCAGGTAGTCTAGTTTCAGAGTCATCTTGCTTCACCCTTGGGCTATAGAACACCATCAAGGCAAATCTCTCTTCATTTTCTTTTGTTTCAATAGATTCTTGGCTGTTCTCTGGCGTTTATTCCTCATGTAAAATTTGAAATCATGTCATTTTTTATTGTTTTACCTTTCTGTGTTAATCTTGAGAGGACTGGTTTTTCTTTCTTTACATTAAATCTTCTCACCCAGTAATTTTTTCCATTTGTTCACAGCTTCTTTCATTGATTTGAATAGATTTCTTCGTGTAGGTCTTGTCCCTTTCTTGTTATATTTATATCTAATTTTTAAAATCTGTTCTCGCTCTTGAGAACAGAAGTTTTCCCCATTTCTGTTCCTACCTGAGCTTATGTGTGTACGTGGGCCACGGTGTGGTGTAGGGGTGTTGTCTTGTGTCTAGTGTAACCTGGGAAAATTAAATGAATACTCATAGTTTTAAAACAGAATGTTTTGTGTTTCTATACATAAAACTAAAGATAGAAATAATCTTGTCTCTTCTTTTCCACTATTTATACAGATTATTTCTAAGACTCCCGAATCTAGAAAGTAGCATTGAATAAGCATGACTATATGGGCAACCCTGCCTTGTTCTGGATTAAATGGAAATCATTTTGCCCCTGTATCCTCAATTATATGAATTATTTAGCAGAATTATTAAATAAAAATTATTCTACTGGTAAAATCTTAATAAGGTCTGTAGTTTAATAACATAATGCCAATGTCAACTTCTTGGTTTTGATCACTGGATGATGGTTATGTGAGACGTTGTCATTAAGGGAAGCTGGGTGTACTAATGTTGTAATTTCTCTCTGTCACAGGAGGTCATCAAGAAGGTGTGACTGCCAGTTGATACTCAGCTGGACCCAGACAATCGGAGGCTCCCCACTTCGTCCCCTGTCCTTGGAGTATGCATTCTGCTTGCCTTCCCTGTTTCCAGAAACTGCCCCAAATTCAGCCTTGAGATAGAAATGTGGTGCTGAGACTATCTAGATGGTGTATGCGTGACGGAACTCAGTTAAGGCCTCTGTATAAACTTTTAAGATTTGCTGGGCAGGTGCAGAAAACTACTCATCTTGCAGCCGCCCAGACGAGCCTCGTAAGTAAGTTCCCTTACTCATTAGAACTGCCACCTCCCAGTCTGGAGTGGTTTCTCTCTTTCTTTGGTCTCTTCTTGCCCTCTGAGTGTGGGGGCTGGTTTTAGATTACACCCAAGAAGCTCCCAAGGAGACGGCAAACCAATACCATTGAGTCTAAAATTATTTTAAAATAAAGTTTTTAAAATTCTATTATGATTAATTTGGGGTACTGTTCAACCTTTGGCATGTGTCTAAAATGCCTGCTTGATATCTCCACTACTGTGAGAATTGTGTTAATTTTGAGATGCCCAAAACTAAATTCGTGATTTCTCCCAATACCCACTCCTACCCAGTCTTATCCCATTTCAATAAATGACAATTCCATTATTGCAGTTGCTCAAGCCAAAATCCTTAGCATCGTCTTTCATGCTTTTTTTTCCTCTCATAGCCCACATGTAATCTACCACAAGTCTGTCAATTCTACATTCAGAATATATAAAGAATACACAAAATAGGTTTACAATTTGTTCACATCTCACCACGTTTAGTGCTACCACTGGACTTCAGGCCTTATCTGTTTCAGCAGCTAGCGTTGCCTTATCTAGTAGATGGATGGATGGATGGACGGACAGATGGATGGATGGATGGATAGATAGATATCCTTGTGGTTCTTGTGGTATATGTTTCTAGACTAGGTATCAAGAGGGGAATTGCTAGGCAACTGGGTATGCTGATTTTTTTTTAAGATTGGTGCCTGAGCTAACAACTGTTGCCAATATTTTTTTTTTTTTTTTGCTTTTTTGCCCCAAAACCCCCAGAACGTAGTTGCATATTCTAGTTGTGAGTGCCTCTGGTTGTGTCATGTGGAATGCCACCTCAGCATGGCATGATGAGCAGTGCCATGTCTGCACCCAGGATCCGAACCATTGAAACCCTGGGCCACCGCAGCGGAGCGCACGAACTTAACCACTCGGCCACAGGGCAGGCCTGATTTTTGTTTTTATAAATACATTTATTTCTCTTCCAAACTGGTTGTTACCATTTATACTCACTCCTATCTGTGTAATAAAGTATCAGTTTTCCCACATGCTTGCTTATCATTGAACTTTAAAAATATTTGCCATCCTGAGGGGAGGAAAATAGTGTTTCAGTATTATTTTAATATATTTTCCCTGATTAATCCTCAGAAACTTTTTTAATTTTTCAAGTCTAATTTTATATCTCAACATATGAAATTCTTTCCTGTTATTTTTAACATATCCAACTGATGATAGTAGGTAATAGAAAAACCATTTTGTATTTTTATATAATATTCTTCTACTTTACTAATTAAATTTATTTATTTATGAATTTTAATAGTTTCAGGTGGTTCTTAGGCAGTCTTGTCTTTAGCTCTTTACCCATTCTTCTGAAATAAATTTGTCTCATTTCTGTAAAATGTCTTAAGGCTCTGCCCAGGTCTTTTAAAACAATGTTAAACTTCAATAGTGATGTTAAAACTGAGTTTTAAAAAATATTTGTTATTTACTCATCTGTTAGAAATAACAAACCATTACATGTAAACATAAATTTTTTTTTTTTTTGGAGGAATGTTAGCCCTGAGCTAACATCTGCCACCAATCCTCCTCTTTTTGCTGAGGAAGACTGGCCCTGAGCTCACATCCGTGCCCATCTTCCTCTACTTTATGTGTGGGACACCTACCACAGCACGGCTTCCCAAGCGGTGCTATCTCACACCCGGGATCCGAACCAGTGAACCCTGGGCCGCTGAAGCAGAATGTCCGAACTTAACCGCTGCCTCACCAGGCTGGCCACATAAATATTTTTATTTTTAAAAAATAAGTATATTTGCCAAAACAAAAAATTTAGAGAAAAGAGTGGTATTATTTTACATTTTCGCATATCTCTTTAGTGACTGCTTAACATATAACAGCTGGATTCTCATATTGGCTTTTAATCAACCTGTTGTTGTGACTGAAGTATATGAAGAAATTCAGCTTCGCACAGATACATAGATGGAAAAGGGGTATTGTTACAGCCTCTTCAGATAATTGTGGATAATGTTCTTTGATACTGTACCAAAAGTAACAAGTGGTCATTTCTCACAGATTCGTTGCAATGTGGAATCTGAAACTACGTCAATAAGCTTGTCATGCTTTGTCACAAACAAAAATCAATTTCAGGTTGATTGAGAATTTATTTATTTATTTACTTATTTACTTATTTACTTATTTATTTATTTATTTATTTACTTATTTATTTATTTTGAGGAAGATTAGCCCTGAGCTAACTACTGCCAGTCCTCCTTTTTTTGCTGAGGAAGCCTGGCCCTGAGCTAACATCCATGCCCATCTTCCTCTACTTTATATGTGGGACGCCTGCCACAGCATGGCGTGCCAAGCAGTGCCATGTCAGTACCCGGGATCCGAACCGGTGAACCCTGGGCCACTGAGAAGTGGAACGTGCGCACTTAACCACTGCGCCACTGGGCCGGCCCCTATAGTCTTTCAACTTTAAATTTTGTGTTTTCTAAAGATAACTCAAGCACATCTGATAAAAATTTAGTACGCAGAGAATTTAGAAGTCTTCAAATGTGCAAAAAATGTAAAATATCACAGTGTTTTTATATTACTTACATGCTTAAGTGAATATTTCCCTTATAAACATGATTTACACATTCTACTGTACAGCAGTGGTTAAGATTGCCACCGGGGATATGACGCGAAGTAAAATGATTTATATGGTCAATATTCTTGAGCTTCCCTTAATGGATACTGGAGAAGTCTGAAGCTCTGGGCATCCTTTTAAGTTCTTACTGCTGCCTTATTCTTTTATTCCCACAGTGAATAATGAACTTATTTCTCTCTATCAGGCACTCAGTTGAG